ACGTATCATTCTGTTGAAAGGTATGCATCCAAATATATTACCACTTGTGCATGCCTAGTAAAAGTATCAAAAAAAAATGATTTCGATCATTTTAACCATTTCGGATATCTGAAATAATCCATTTCGACTTCATGTATAGATATAATATATGTCAGATATATCAGAAATATCAGTTATATCAGATATGTCAGATATATCAAATATATAAGTTATGTAATATTTGTTTAACATTTCTAACGTTACATGTGTAAATCATTTGTAGATCATTCAGTAGATCAATTTTGTAGATCATTTTTGTAAATCTTCTAGTAGATTAATTTTATGAAATATGTTGATCATTTGTTGTATCACATTTTCTTGTTATAATCACCCTGTAATAGTGTGCAAATTTTATTTTTAAAATAAATTTAAAAACTTTATTTTTTCATTCAATTTGATCAGAATAATGATATATTATAATATATAAAAATAAACACCATAATTAAAAAAAATAGCGCAATTAAGTTGCAACTCAATTGAAATTTGAAAATAATTATAGGATCATCTTTAACAATGCATAAGAATTTTTGACAAATATATTCTTATGTACCAAAATAATTCTCACATAAAACCCTAAAATTAATTCATAGCAGAATTTCATTTATTAATATGTTTGTTTGTTTACTCAGAAGTTAATAATTTTCAAATAAAAATTTGTCAGCCAAATATTTAGTAAATAAAATGCGAGTAAAGTAAAAAATTTATATCTATATGAACCCAATATTCTTATAAATGCATGCCTTTATTTTGAATATAAAAATTTTGGCTTAAGAATATATTGCATATTCTTCTGTCTCATTATCATGAAAAAATTGAAATTATAAAACATATAAAAAGGCAGTATAACGAAAATTAGAATAGTGTTACTATATAGTGATTTATTTTGTTTTAAATCATAATATATACTATTTTAAAATTTCATTATATTTTTAGTAATATATGACAATATTTGTAATTTTTTAGTTAATTCACCTCCAGAACGTATTATAGCATTTTCTGTTATTTTTCAACTCTTAGATGATGATACATGATGATACGTAATATCCAAAAATGAGTTGAAAAAATAATTCATCAGATAATTGAAGTGGTGAAAAAATTACATTCAAAGGATTTAGTAAAATCCTGCTTTTAGTCTAAAGTTTGTTAAGTCTCAAAATAAAGGAACATATATAGTTAATATAATAGTCAAGCATCATTAAAAGATCTTTCGATTAGAAAATCTGATTATATTTTTATAGCTTAGTGTCAAAGTATATTCAGTAAAGATTGAAGAGGAGTTGGAAAATAATCAGATATTATATTTATTGCTAATTATAATAATAGGTCATATAGGAGATTTACTAGGAAAATGGAACTTTAAGTATTTTTTATTAAAATTTTAATTTTTATTGCATTTTAATTTTTAATAATATTAGGTTAAAATATAATAAAATTAAATTTTCAACAAAAAATGCTTAAAGTCCCATTTTCCTAGCAAACCTTTCATATGAATTAATTTATATTGATATTAAAATATTATTGACAATACAGGTATGTGAAACAATATATCACTATTATATTATATGCTTCCAGGTATTAATACAAAAAATAGTTTTACGGTATTTTTTTTCCATTACTACACTGATTGAAATCAAAAAAATCAGACATGTGATAAATTATCCATCAATTGTCTGTCAATCAGACATAATCATCAATGGCCAAAAATCAATCTAAATCAACCTATCCGATTTATGGACAATTTGTATATTTATAAAATCGAAAAGCAATTTTAATAGATTATTTTATGTTGAAAATAACAATTCAGAAGGATTTTTTAGGCCAATAAAACTTTCAAAAATTATATGAAAAATGACAATTCAGAAAGTAATTCAGTAGGAAATAAGATGTCATAATTTCATAATTGATATTTTCTATTAATCGAATTGATGGCCAAATATTTTTTTGCATTTTGCCGAGTTAAAATCATATGGTTCACTAGTACAAAATGTCCTAAAATATGATGAACTGGTATTATGCAATCACGACTTTTAGGGTAAAAATCAGTATCTCATAGTTCAACATTACATGTTTCTTCAACGTTAAAATGATATCGAACATTTAGAGAACTTGCAGGTTGATACCAGCAAACATATGCTAGAAAATGTTCAGTCAGTCTATATTGTAAATCGACTGTATGAGTAAAATAATATTGAACTTGACCTGGATAACAATTAATAACATCATCATTCATAATAAATTTGGCCAAAATGTATGAACGTTTCTCATGTCGTAAGGATATTGTTGAACTAAAGATTTTAGAACCGATTCGACATCTTTCAAACTGATTCATTTTAACTGAATTATTATAGCATTTTCTGAATCATCGCTGAATAGTTTATGAAATTCAAGATTTTTATAAGTTGCTAAATAGTATTTAACAATTAAATCCAGCATTTCATTTAAAATAATTATATTATCAGATGATGGTTTAAGAAATTTTCCTGAAAAATTTTCACTACCAAAAATAAGCGATTCTTTAATATTTCAGGAATTCATCCAAAATCAGTATATTTCATCTGATGAAAAAATTGGTCAGAAACTGAAAGAGAGCTAATAGAAGGCCGATTATCCAAAAATTCAAGCCCTTTTATCTCAACACTGGAGTTTATGATATTGTCAATTTAACCATCAAACATCTATCGACGCATAAGTTCAGGTTCGATTTCTATTACTATTCGGTAAAGAGCCTAAGAATTATAAATTTAAAAATTAATAAATATATTCAATCAGAAAATTTTTATAATGATGAATTATCTAATATTCCATTTATACATTCGAAAGAAAAATACCAGAATGCATACAATAGCCCATAATCAAATGAGCAATCTTATAAATGAAGAGATAAATGAATGTTCAGCGTAATTTTATTACGACCATGATTAACTTCTATCAGCTTTGCTATTTCAATTAATCTTCGATGAGCTTCTAAAATAAGATCTGATTCTATAATTCAGCTAACTAAAATTAAGCAATGTGTAAGAATCTTTTTATTTACAGCCGAAAAATGTTCCCAAAGTGATACAGTGGCATAAACAGTAAAAAATATTCACTATTGATCGGCTGTGAAATTAGAAAATCCTTCTCCTTCATGAATTTTACCCAGAATTTGACCCAAATCAGATGGTATCTGAAACTCATTCATTTTTTTCTGAATTTTTTCAGGGCATTTGATGTTAAAATTCCCTATCAATCCAAATTCATTTTACTATTCATCGTGCAATTCCTAAAAATAAGCAATGCATTGGGTCGATTGTGATAAATTTAATAGGGTCAAAATATGGTAATCGCAATAATTCAGCCCATTTTACATCAGTTTGTTTTATAAATCGCTTTCGTGAAGCATCAGAATTGCAATATCTCCATTCTAAAGCATTCTGACGATGTTCAGTTGGATCTCACATGAAGAACCAATCATCAAAATCATCAATACCGGCAAAATTATGCTACTGATTTTTATCATTTACCTTTTTCTCACACCTATAACATGATACTAAGGCTGAAACATGACCACATATTTTTCTAGCGGCTGGTATATCACATGAAATAAGAATTAGAGCTGCAAAAATGGTCCTTTCTTCTTGAAATTCTTATGTTTTATCTATAGTTATTCCATCCCAAAGAGATTTCAATTCATCAACGATCGGTGCTAAATAATGATTGATTTATTTTGTGCAAACTTACTTTACTTGACCTAAGTAAGAAGCCAAGAATCAGTAGATTTTCACGTTTGAATCAGATATCATGTGGCAAATTGCATATAGCAGAATAAATAATACTAATACTATATACAGTGCCTTCATAAGGCTGGAACTATACATGAAGTCGAAATGAAAACCCAAAAGTCGAAATGTTTCGACTTTGGAGGTCAAAGTCGAAATGAAAAGT